CAAGTCTGTACAATGGAATTGAACACAGAAAGAAATAGGACAAAACAGCAACATATACAGTATATACACAGTGAAAAAACTAATAAAGAACGTATTACACTTAGGATGTTTGGCTGTTTGGCTTAGGATGGCCCATGAGAAAAAAATTGTTTTTGAGTTTGTTGGTGTGGCTCTTCTGCTGGAGGGCAGCAGGCAGAGCAGGTGGCGACCAGGATGGAGGTGGTCTTTAATCTGACTCTGAGCGGGGTTTGAATTCTCTAAGTGAAATAATCTGTCAGTGCAGTTTGAACAAAATATTCCACGCCAACAAGATTAATAATCTAACAGATTCTCTCTTTTTTAGTATGTCTCAAAACAAGATACAAAACTTTTTCCCCACTTTTTGCAACCTATTCAAGATGACTGACACAACTAAGCAAGTTAAGAAGATAAGAATGGCTATACTTCAGTTTAATAGCTCTTGCGCTGGTCTGGTAGCTGAGAGTCATTCTCAACTTAGACTCTGTACTGCTTGAACTTATAATAAATCTCTTGGAAAGAAACCAAGTTGCCTTTAAATTATGCTGAACATGTGCAAATGTTTGGCAGAGGAGTTGAAAATGCAGCAAACCAATGCTTCAACAGAGGCTCCTTGTTTATAAAGGGAACATGAAATTATAAGTTGCCATATCCTATTTCCATTTTGTGCTTTGAGTACTTTTATTTAGAAATACCGCATTTACCAAATAAAAGCTATTGTCCACTGCCTCTGCATTTGATGCCTTCAGGTTGGGAATGTACTTTACCTGTGTCTTGCAATTTTTTTTCTTTATTGATTCCAGAGGAAAATCAAAACCTTGTTTGTGTTGATGCTGTAGACTTGATAGATTTATAGACTTGTCATAGCTGGGAGGAGATGAGATGGACACTAACACAGGAGTTTCATTTCTTTTTCAAGTTAAAAACATATCCCTCACTCTACACATTTTACACCAATAGAATCTCCCACAGGTTGAAAATCTTGCATGTTGCAGCTGGTCATACAAAATTCAGACAAATATATTTTAAACAAATACATTTGAAAAAAGCTTTCTGCAATGAGATCCTAACAAAATTGTTTCTTTCCCAGTTCCTATAACACAGCTGACCTGATGGATGACCTGAAGGGTTTATACAGAACAGCCGGTCAGCTGGGCAAAGGAGTCAGCTTCATCTTCACAGACAATGAAATCAAACATGAGTCCTTCCTGGAGTATATGAACAACGTCCTGTCATCAGGAGAGGTTGGCTTTCCATTTATACAATAATAGGTTTCTTGCCCTCAACTTTTTGTTTGTTTCTCTCTCTTTCGGCCCCTGTTTCTTCTTTATATGCAAACACGTTCTAATTTCCTTCTGTCCAGTCATGTTTCCATCTGCTGCTTTAAATGTTATTTTAATTTTCACAGCTCTTCTGCCTCATCAGTGGCATTATTAGCTGTCTGCTTTTCCCACTTCTCCTCTTTCAACCTTCCTCTGCTTCCCTTTCTGGGTAACAATTTAAGCAGCCGATGCTAGACCAGGTGAGGTGAATTGAAGTGGTGACCGGGGAAAAGAGGAGATGGTGTTTGGATGCTGCAAGTCAGCTTTGTGTGTGTTGGGAGGAGKTTTGAGAAGCAATCATTCTGAGATGAATGAGTAAGAGAAGGTAAAACCAAGACATTTGTAGGAGTTTAATTTAAGTTGTTAGGTTGTTGCTTTAGCGATACCTGGTTATGTGGCCTTTTTTGTGTGATCAAGGATTGTTAAATAAAAACAAAGATAACAACAAAAAAAATTACAAAATGAAAAAATTGCTAAATTATTATTTGCACCAAATATATGTCAGTCTTGATGGAACAGTGTCACACATATAAATAAAAAGAAATGTGGATTAATGTGGAAGAAATGGATTAACCCTGAAAAGTTGACAATAATTTGTTTTTACAAATCATACAATTTATTGTGCTAACAAACAAGAGTATATAAATAAGTTGTAAAAATTGTTAAGTTGTAAAAACACACATAGACACAGGTATATGACTGCTAATTATTGTGATATTAGTGAAATTGATGAAAGGATTTTATCTCCAGGTGTCCAACTTGTTTGCTCGTGATGAGATTGACGAGATCCTCAGTGACCTCATCCCTGTGATGCGGAGAGAATTTCCCCGACGACCACCAACCAATGAAAACCTGTACGAGTACTTCATGTCACGGGTCCGACGCAATCTCCATGTTGTTCTGTGCTTTTCTCCCGTTGGGGAAAAGTTCCGCAACTGGGCACTGAAGTTCCCAGCACTGATATCTGGCTGCACCATGGACTGGTTCAGTMGCTGGCCCAAAGATGCACTGATTGCAGGTTTGTTTTTGACTTTCTCATACTGGTGGTTTGAACTTGCCAAATTGTGATATTGTATTTTTTTAAATTATTTTTAGACAGTGCACACTCTAAAGCCTTCACAAACGTGTTTGAGTTCTTGGTTTTTTTAGTATTTGTATAATGTAGAATTTGTTGTATTCACATAGCACTTTGTTAACAACAAAAGCTGCACTAGATTTCTATACTGCAAAAGTTGTGCAAAACAAAAATAATAATAAAATCATGTCTTCAGAGTCCCACAATATTCAACAGAACAAACAAAAGTAAAAAGCATTCCATAAAATACAATAAAAACACTGAACAAAATTAAGTTGTTAAATTTTACCAGAGTTTGAAATGAGCCTATTTTAAATGGTTCTTTAATACTGCTTTAATTTTTTTCAAGCTCTAAGCATTCTTGTAGAGAAAACCCATAAAACTAATGCCCATAAAGTTGGAGAAAGCTCTAAGAAGGTACAGTTATTGGAAATGGTAAACTAATTAAATTTACAGGAACAGTGGAAGTGAAGTTAAGGATTATTATGAAGATCACAATGAATGTTTTCCTGTCATGAGCGTGACTTTGATGTTACAATATAAAATGAACAAAGTCAATAATCTACCATGTTTATAACTGCTGGTCCTTTTGACTATAAAACAATGGACACAATTCAATGAATATTTCATTGTAATCTATACTAAGTTCCCTTATTGTAAATATTTATATTTAATGCTGCTAGTTTAGCTTATTAAGATTTTGTGCTTATAGTCAAAATAATTCTTTTTTTTCTGCCTTTCAGTTTCAGAGCACTTCCTGTCTGCCTACGATATAGACTGCACTCCTCAGGTCAAACAGGAGRTTGTTCAGTGCATGGGCTCGTTCCAGGATGGTGTGGCAGAAAAGTGTGTGGAATATTTCCAAAGGTACTGAAGTTCATTAAACTAACTTGGAAGTTTCAGTCATTTTATAACTTTCTTAAAAGTAAGAAAAAAAGGACAATGTGATATATTTATTAGACAATATATTATCCTGCAGCACTAATTTGTAGATAGCAGTGCCCAAAGCCTCCTGTCAAAAGACCCAAAGTGTATAAAAATATATATTTCTTGAATTGTGGTATTTATTGGATCCAGAGAATTTGTCTTTTGGGAATCATGTATCTCACAAGAAGTACTCACTCCATGGAAGCATTAAAGATATTAAAGAGTCTTATCAATTAAATTAAAACTTTTTGAAAACCAATTTTGCATAGAAAGAATGGCTGACTTTATTCATATCCATGATTTTTATTTGTCTTTTTTTTTGCAGCAACAGACAAAAATGCAATTCAAATGGAAAAAATATATATATAATCAAGGCAGTGCAACAAATTTTAAATTACAAAAACATTAAAATAGTACAAAATAAAATTAGAAACTGTGCAATAGCTTTTTAAATGTACAAATATGATTTTGAATGTACCTACAACTGAGGCAGCATTTATTGCAATCAGAGTTTACAGCAACCCATTGGCATGGTGATGGCATGTGGCAGGAAAGATTCTCTGTAGCGGTATATTTATATATTATTCAAAATGTTCTTGTTCTATCTCAAACTGAATTTAGATACCGGCGCTCCACTCATGTCACACCCAAGTCCTACCTGTCCTTCATCCAGGGATACAAGACCATCTATGAGCAAAAGAGGTCTGAGGTCCAGACTTTGGCCAACAGGTAGGATGCATGAGATTATAATGTTCAGTTGTCAAAGGTTGCATTTGACATGATCAGTTTGAAGATTTCAGAATTAAATGTCTGATTCATTTTAGTTAAATGAAATTGGGATTGGCTGAATTTATTTAAAGCCAATCTTAAGACATTATACGGAAACACCAACTACCAATAAAAATATATATGTTTTATGGTAGCTACAGAACAGTATTAAAAGATATCCTAACTCACAAACTCCTGAAATTTATTGGCAGCTGCAGAAGGGAAACCTTGACTTTAAAAACACTGATCCATACCTTGATAGACGAAAAGCCTGTGCAACACTGTACAAGTATTTTCACCACCTGGTGTCATAGAGTTCAGACAGAATGTGATGCATTTCAATTCAGAGTTAGAGAACTTTAACAAAAATCAAACTCCTTACTTCAGGTGACCAGCATACACACACATGCAACAAGCTACAAGCATGTAATAAACCCACGTTTCTTTGACTGACTGTGTTAAATGTTTCTCCTGGTAAGGATGAACACTGGTCTGCAAAAGCTGAAGGAGGCTTCAGAGTCTGTAGCAGCTCTCAGCAAAGAGCTGGAGGTGAAAGAAAAGGAGCTGCAGGTTGCCAATGACAAGGCTGACATGGTAGGGTTTATTTCTGTAACTGAGTGTGYTTAGATTCAAAAACTGACAACTTTCATAGATGTTTCTCTTGAAAGACCGACTGTTTTAAAACACTAATTGTAGTTAAAATCAATCAACAGTCCATAATAAATTCTACTCAAACGTTTTTCTACATATGGATGCTGGGCTCATCTGCATTTTCTCTGTATTAAATATATTTGTTTTTTTATATTTGTCTATTTGCAAAACCAKTGAAATTATTAAGATGGTCTTCATGAATATGAAAATACCTAGATTTTGTAAAGATGTTTTTATAAAACACAATTTTAGTATTTTATCACATATAGTACTTTCTGTCAGTCTGTGAAACAATCTAGTATTTTTAGTGATGACACTTATATCTTATTAATTTACCGGAATGTGTACAAATTAGCCCAATTAAACTTTTTTGTGTGTGTGTGTTGGGGGGGGGGTGGTCACACCTGCGTACAAGATTTCTAGTTTGTTTTATTCAGTAAATAGCCTCTACATTCTGTTTTTTAATTTTTTTAATTTATTTATTTTTTTTTTTTGCTGTAACTCAAAATGGCTTTTTTCCCCCTGCTGTATTGAATATAGGATAAAAGTAAGTCATGCCTCGGGTTATTTTTTCTTCCAGGTGCTCAAGGAGGTGACGGTAAAAGCCCAGGCAGCAGAGCAGGTTAAAGTAGAAGTGCAGAAAGTAAAGGACAAGGCCCAAGCCATCGTAGACAGCATTTCAGCTGACAAGGCCATTGCTGAAGAGAAACTAAAAGCTGCTAAGCCGGCTCTGGAGGAGGCAGAGGCCGCGCTCAAGGTGTGGGACTCACAAGCATTTACTTTAATTCTGAAATGGCTTAGATTTTCCTTTTAGCATTTTTATCATCAGGATGACATGTTTAACTTAATTTGTAATGTTTAAAACAAGTCTACAATAAAGATAGCGGACTAGTTTTAGAAGCATTTGTCAACCAAATACAAAACAGCAGATAAGGAATACAAGGAACTCTGAAGGTTTTTATCCTGATGAGATATTCTGTTCATTATCATGTCTGCAGGTAAAAAGCCTGAGGATGAGCCGTACAAACATTGGCGAGCAATGCTTTCTGCCCATTTGTTGTCCCAACACTCATCTATACACAAACATTTTCTCTCCTTTTGCRTTTTCTCACATAGACCATAAAGCCTTCTGACATTGCCACAGTACGAACCCTCAGCCGTCCTCCCCACCTCATCATGAGGATCATGGACTGCGTGCTGCTGCTCTTCCAGAGGCGGCTCAATACTGTGAAGTTCGATCCAGAGAAAAACTGCAACACTCCTTCTTGGCAGGAGTCCCTAAAACTGATGACAGCTGGAAACTTCCTTGGCAGCTTGCAGGTGCACTTTCCAATATTACCTTCATGCAGATGCTGYAGAAAACCTGCTCCCTTGAACTGTAAAGTTAATTGTTTAACACGTGTTTTAGTTATTTGTCGTAATGGATTTGGAAACATTAAAAGTATTATTAATTTTGACGTAAACAACAATTGATCAATGCTCATATAATGCTTTTGTAATCTTAACCAGGTTCTGTGAAGTGTTTACAATGTTTCTCATAATCATTTACACACATATGCTGTACACAGAGTACATTTATATTATGTCTTTTACACTATATACAAAAAAGGTTTGCTCATGTTGAATAAACATATCAGGGGTAGTGGGGGCACAGGGTACACTTTGGCAGGGCCTGGGCATCAAACATCTTCTCTACCACTGGGCTATATGGTCATGGAGCTCACAAATAAAACATTTTAGGAAAAACTAAATAGGATTCAGTAATCAAAAAGAAAAAATCAGTAGGTCCTCTGGATGGGTTCTTCTTTAGTGAAACGTTTCGTCTCTCCTCCAAGAGACTTCTTCAGTCTGATGAGTTTCAGGTGAATTCAGCCGAGCACCTGAAACTCATCAGACTGAAGAAGTCTGTTGGAGGAGAGATGAAACGTTTCACTAAAGAAGAACCCATCCAGAGGATAACCATGTAATCCTTTCTGTTTATGAATAACAAAGATTACATGGTTGGTTAATATGTGTTCACTAATTATAGACAGAAATCAGTTCCAAATTCTTGTATTTTATGTCTATATCTTTCATAACTGTTTCCCCATCATGTCTTTCTTTTGCCTTCAAAGCAATTTCCAAGAGACGACATTAATGAAGAAACTGTGGAGTTTCTGCAGCCTTATTTTGAAATGCCTGACTACAACATCGAAACAGCCAAGAAGGTGTGTGGCAATGTGGCCGGCCTTGCATCCTGGACCAAAGCTATGGCCTCGTTCTTCTCCATCAACAAGGAGGTCTTGCCCTTACAGGTACAGTGTGGGACAGGGGCGCCCAAACATTTTCCCCAAGAGGGCCAAAATGAGAATCTTTACGGGGCTGCGGGCCAAATACAGTAATATAATACATGAAATACAAATACTATTTTAGTAAAGTCCTTTATTTTGTAACGATTAAGCTAGCAGCCAGTTTGGTGGCCTGCTTTTGTTTTAGTCTGGGTACTTGGAGAAAATCTGCCATATCCTCAAGTAGCAAAGGCTCATGGGAAATTTCATAAATTGATAAAATATGAGTTTTGCTGGCCTTATAAAGTGTGCAAATCTATATGTGGGTTTAAATCTAATCTAAATGTCACTTKTTGCTTGTATTTCACATTTCATACTTAATCTTAATATATCAAAGACAAAGTCAGAACCATGAGTGAAAACTATCTGTACCACAGCCCCTTATAGTTATTGAGCCAATGGATGAAAAGACAAAGTGGAAATACTTTTTCTGCATAGGACGACAGGTTACAACCTAGTAACAATGTCAACTGCTGGTGGGCCAAATCAAATGGCTTGGCGGGCCAAATTTGGCCCGCGGGCCCCACTTTGGGCTCCTCTGGTGTGGGAGATAAAAGACAGGAGTGCCTTGAACCAGATCTGTTTACAGGCAAAATGTGACAAAGAATAGAGTTAAAAAAGAACTCCAAGGATGATGTTGAAAAACACACTAAGCTGGGAAGCTTATATGTGCTTTGAAAAAAAAAATCCAACATTTTCAGTAAATGTAAGAGTTGGATTCTTAGTATTTGGGTTCATTTCCAGGACCTCCTTACTTTTCTGATCAGATAAAAAAGACACACTGACATTGGAGTAGAGTGGTTATTTATCTGTACAAAAAAGCTCCAGACTTCATGAACAAAACAGACCATCTCTGATATGAAAATGAGACTTCTACATTTGAAAAGCAACAAGTTCTTGATAGTGTGGGTAATCAAGGGTTAAGTCTTTATTCATGGATTATTAACATGTAAAACATGCAATTAAAACATAAACATTCTGTTCTGCAGGCAGACATCCTGTAAATATTGGAATACTGGAAGTTAAAATAAATTTGCTTTACGATTTGTAAACAAACTCCAGAACGCTTCTATCAGAGTCATAGCTTTCTCATGATTACACATTTTTTTTTACAAATGTTGCAAGAAAAAAATATTTTTCACTATGAAAACTGTTTTTAATATGTTTTTGAGATTTTTCCACAAGTAAAAATTAGAACTGAAGCTGGGGTTTTCAGTCTGCTTTTAAGGTAATATACTATACAAATGACTACCTGTCATGTACCAGCATGCTGGTATTTCTGGAAACATGGTCACTTTTTTAATTCCACGAACACAGCTTCTAACAACAGAGAAACTGTGTAAGGTTTTTAATTAACGAGCACAGCAGCACACAGCTCCACTGGAGTACTGGAATTATGTTATCTTTAATATGTTTCACCAATTAACAGCTATTTTCTCTAGTTCTTTTGACCCAGTGATTTCACATAGATGCCCCTTGGAGCTGACTTTTCTGATCATCTTGGTTCTGTTTTTCTAATTTACCATGCACCAGCAGAGGGGGGGGGGACATGTTGAGATTCTCAGAAAAAATACAAAAATAATACTAATTAAAAAATCCCAAAACAATTTCTGCAAGTAAAATAGCAAATCTGAACCTTCATGATCCCCATCTCATTAGTCCTCGTTTGATTTGTCCAGAGTGAGACCAAAAATATTTAAGGACAAGAATCCTGCCACACAATAGTTTGTCTTTTCCAAACATTTTGGGCAACCTGTTATTTCCACTATCTGTTTGCTTTTGCCAACATTCAGTTAAAAATTGCATCAGGTCTGCAGACAAAGCCTTTTTGATAAAGTAAACCTTCTACAGTTATGTAATTCAATTCTTTTTTAGTTAAGAATACATCTAAATAATCTTATCCCACACATGTTTTGTATGTAAATCTCAAGATGTGTTTAAATCAAATACACTTACTGACAAAATAAATTGAGAACCCAAGCAGTGTGATTTAGGTGGAACACAGAACTACCCGTAGTTGTTTATAAGTAAGATCGTCCTGTCAGATCATTGTCATTAACAACAGTTTAGTCACTGGAAAACACATAAACTCCTAGATACACACTTCATGCTCTTGAGGAGGAAAAAAAATCTGAAAAAAAAATTTCATGACAACTGTATATGATTTTACATCTTTCGGTTTTCTTCTTTTGTTTTACCTTATTTTCTCTCCCTTGGTAATAAATCTAGTTTTTATGTTTTTACAATCTCCATAGTTTTATTTTCATCATCTCCTCCTTGAACAATCACGTTTGCCTCTCCCTCCACTTTTCCCTCCATGTTTCCATTATCCCCCTTCATACAGGCTCTCTGTCTCCCTTTCCCTTCTGGTTTTATCATTTTCCATCTAGCACATTCTGACAGACGCATTCTGTTTTCATCACATTGTTTACAACTTCTATAAGAACCGGTTGCCTCTCATCCTGACCTTTAGCTTAAGCATGGAGCATGGCCTACCAAATTGATTTTCCGGTTTGCAGCTCCAGGCTTCCTGTTAAGCTATCCAGCCAGCCTGCCAGACGACAGACAGGCAGAATGACAAGCATGGATGCTCTTCTCAGATGTCAATTAATAATAAATGGAAGTGGCAGACTCAGTCCCGCTCAAGCCACCCAAACAGATTCCGGTGCACACACACTTAACGTTCCTCTGCATCTGTCAGTAAACCTCTTTCTTTATTTTTTTCAACATTACTCAAAAAGATATTTTCTGGTAACTTTTTCCCTATCATTTTTGTTCAATCTTTCATCACAGTTTATTTTCATTTTTCATCTTCCAGTACTGTATTTCCTCTGAAAATGTCTACCCTCCTATCTCCAGGTTTCTTTCACCTATATTTTCATTTTCCAGGTTCTGAGTCACTTAAAAACTATAAACATAAAATTCTTCCGCACAAATATACATTTCATCTATAGTATGTTCTAAACCAGTGTTTCCCAAAGTTGGGGTCAGGACCCAAAGTGGGGTCCCGAAACGTCAAGGTGGGGTCCTGAAAAGATTTTCTGAATTAATTACATTTTTGCCTTAGTTGTAACAAATGAGTGAGGTTAGTGTATTTGAAATGGATAAATGTAGTATAAAAATATTGTTACTATGCCCATGTTTTGTTGACCTGATACAAATGTTTATCGTACAAAAACAGCTGGGGGCTCAGGTCTCTGCTACTGTTATTTTGTGGGTCAAAAGCTGAAAAGTTTGGGAACCACTGCACTTTGGTTCCCAAAGTTGGGCTTGGGACCCAATTATGGGTCATGAAGCACCTTGGATAATCTCCAGAAATCAATTTAAAGGGTAATAAAATAATTGATGATGTAATATTTTCCCTATAATTATTACAAAAACACAAAATAAGTATAAATAAGTATTTATATTTGTGTACAAGCTGTTTAGATTGTCAAAAAGCCTGTGTTTTCAGGGTTATTAATGGAGTTTGTGTACTCAGACCAGTAATATTTGGGGTCACAAATTTTTGCCATGAATATTTTGTGGGTCAGAAGATAAAAAGTTTGGGAACCACTGTTCTAAACCACATGTGTCAAACACAAGGCCCGCGGGCCACATGGTGACTCCGGTGTGGCCTGCCAGGGGGTCCCCCTCCCACCTCCCATTTTTTTTTACTTAACATGAAATTTGTTTCTTATATCAATGGTAAACTTTAAATTTATGGTTAAATGCAACAAATTAATTTAATAAAAATAAATGAAATGAAAATAAATTAAAAAAATTCCTGTCCCTGAGCTGTTGGCTTGAAGTAACTGAGCAATTTAGTTGGATAGCACAGTACTAATGTCTGAAAATAAGTTGCTTTAARGTCACCATCAAATATAAACTAAATCTGCCATAATGCAACTACTCACTAGAAACTCATCAGTGAGTAAAACTTTATTTGTTTTACTTTTTAATAATATTTCCGTATTTATTTCAGATTTAGTCAGTCATTCACAGTTCTTATCAGTGTTTAAAAGAGGACGTTAAAACTCTGTTTAGTCAAAGTTAAACATGAAACATCAAAGTTCATTACAAGTGGCCCTTCAACGGCCACCATTACACTCATGTGACCCTCGGTGAAAATGAGTTTGACACCCCTCTTCTAAACTTTTTAAACATTCAGTAAGCCCAGTTTAATATATGCTCCTTTTTAGTTAACATTTTTATTTCTTCTGTTTTCTTGTTTCTGCTTCTTTTTAACCTACTATAAATACAGCAGAGTTGTATGCGCTAAATAAAACATTGTAAATGTATTTTTTATTTATGCTTACTAGGCTAACCTTGCAGTGCAGGAAAGTCGTCTGACCACTGCCAATGCGGACCTTCAAGTGGCTCAAGCTGAACTGGATGCGAAGCAGGCAGAGCTGGATGTGGTGCAGGCCGAGTATGAGAAAGCCATTAATGAGAAACAGGTGAACAAACTACAATTTAACTACAGTTTGGTGGTCTTCATTCTCCTCTGGTTCTGGGTCAGACTGGCTCCAACATGTAAGGCTGGATGGACAAGTCGTTCGTGACATCTTTTAATTCATTTATAAATAAAAAGTTTCTGTGCTGCTAAACCCTTCTATCAAACTAGAATGGACCAGTATAAAAGCTGGAGGAGGGGTGGGGTGTGAAGTGCCTGTTTGCATTTAAAGAGAAAACAAAACAAATCGATCTGAACACACCTTAAAAAAGGGATGAAAAGGGGCCTGTGGAAGAATAAAGAGGAATTCAGACCAAAGTATTGCAGTTCCTCTTTATATAGACCCCAATTGAACTATTTAAATAAAAAAAAGAAGGATTTAAAAGGATCATATGTCTCCTTTAATCATTTGTTGGCAAGTTAGTAAAAGATGACATTGAACCTGGATTTAAATCTTTATTTCGATTTGAATATTTCAAGTTTAGGTTGGATCTATAACTATATATATA